TTGAAGAGGCTACTTGGTTTATTCTTGCTGCTTATAGTAAAATGTGAAAGGAGCAAGTATGCCAGAAAAAGAACTAATAAACATGAAGGAGCTGGGACTTGATGATTGTGACCATTTTTAGCCTCTCCAGACAGGAAATAATGCTAAAGTTAAGAAATGGCTTCTTCCGAGTCAAGGGGAGAAATAATTTTCCTCAACTTTCATCAGTTTGTAGCTGGGACAGACTCCTGCAACAAAAACCAGATGAACTACAGGAAAACCATCAAGTATATTAATTTAGCATGCATTTTTAGAATCAAAAATCTTCAATAAAGAGCAATACATTTTAGAGAAGTGACAGGACAAAGGAAAGCAGTTTAAGGCTTCCAAAGGCAGGAGAATGTGGGAAGGGAAATTTATGGGGAAATTAACAGAATAAATTCTACTCAAATTCCTGGCACCATCTCTAAGCTGAAGAAGGTCATAAAGGAGAATTTATAACCTATTTTTAGGCAGGAAAGATGGAAGTGGGGGGAATTGGGAGCAGTTAGAGAGATGATTTGTCCTTGTAATTCTCTATCCTGATTTTAGGCAAACAGGAAAGACTGAGAGCTCCCCAGCATCAAAAAAAATATATTTGTCAAAGAAGCATATTTTGGGGTGAAATATTCTGTTTTCCTTCATGAGCAAAGATCAGATCCAAGGCATTGCCAGGAAAATGTTCTAAGGACAAAGCTGAGGATGTGGTTGTAAAATTCTTTAATACTTTAGAGATCTAAGTTTCTGCCTCATAGTACTTTTCAGTCAGATAAAAGGGCCTTTAAAGACTAATGGTGTGACATATCCCTTCAAAGAAACAGTAAGGCTTCTAAGAAACTTAAAGATATGATCCTTATTCTGCAGCCATTTTGGAAAAGTCTCAAGGTAGAGATGGGTGTGTCTGAAAGATTTGTGCATGTGGCTTTTGTTTAATGAAAAGAACTCCAGCCTGATTCCTAGGGGACCCACACAACTTTAAGAGAATTGTATCTTAAGGATCACCACCAGCTTGGATTAAAGGGGACAGAGAGTACAAAAGGAAAAGGGGCCTCTGGACCCTCCCACTTCTACCATATAAGCAGGAAGCAGGCAGAGAAAACTACCTGGCTGAAAGCATGTGCTATTTCTGAAAACAGAAGAGTGACTCAGAGGGCTGAACCTAGAGGATGGACCCAGAGCCACAGAGAATCATTTCCTGTTGGAAGTAGAACTGAGTCTTAATCAAGGAACGTCCGTCCAACATTTGCCTGGCTGGATTTCAGTGACCTGGTCCTATGTACTTCCCATTTTGCCCCTTTTTTGAACAGGATTGTCTATAATGGTTATCTCTACCTGATCAAAAATTGCATAACTCAGTTAACTTGCCTTTGTAGCTCAAGAGTTGGCAAACCTTTTCTGTAAAAGTCCAAATAGTAAATATTGAAGGCTTTATGTCTGTGGCTCATAGTTTACCAAATAATTTTGCTAACATAGCTATGTATTTTTCTATATCTTGATTGACTTATTATATTCCTACTTGGAAATTATTCCCTTGACAATGCACAAGTGAACTTTTACACTCATCTCTGTATGTGTGTGTATATACATATGTATTTTGCTATATATGCATATATTTTTGTACATGGATAATCTGGATAGTAGACTTTGTAATGATTTCTAGTCTATTACATTTATTGTTATACACATTTTGAATATACATGTTATTCTTATACACGTTTTGAATATATATTCCTAAATTCTAAAAATTAAATGATTTACCTCAAAGATGTCAGCCAAGTTTTTAAGTTGATCCAAATATAAACAAAAAATGCAAAATTAATATTCATCACTATCACAGAGCATTTTATAATATATAAAGACTGTTCATATATTTATTCTTTACAACAGCCTTGAAATGAACATAAAGGAAATATTAGAGTAGCCCCACGTTACAGATAAGAACCATGAATCAAATATTATTACAATAGCCCAATTTACAAATAAGAAATATGAAGCAGCCGGGCGCAGTGGCTCACGCCTGTAATCCTAGCACTCTGGGAGGCCGAGGCAGGCGGATTGCTCAAGGTCAGGAGTTTGAAACCAGCCAAGAGCGAGACCCCATCTCTACTATAAAATAGAAAGAAATTAATTGGGCAACTAATATATATATAGAAAAAATTAGTCAGGCATGGTGGTGCATGCCTGTAGTCCCAGCTACTCAGGAGGCTGAGGCAGCAGGATTGCTTGAGCCCAGGAGTTTGAGGTTGCTGTGAGCTAGGCTGACGCCACGGCACTCACTCTAGCCTGGGCAACAAAGCGAGACTCTGTCTCAAAAAAAAAAAAAAAAGAAATATGAAGCAAATATTAGAGAAGTCTCTGATAAGGAAATTAAGCTTCAGAGAAGACAAATAGCCTAACTCAGAGGCCACAACTTGTAAGTGGTATCGCCAGGATTCAAACCCAATGGCATTTCTACTAATATCTGCTATCTGGTTTTGCATAGCATTATATTTGAAATAACATTTGGTTATAATTTCAAAATTACCATAATTTTGATTTTTTATATTTAAAAATCTCTCCTCACTAGAAGAGATTTTGCAAAGATATGTGTACTATAAAAGAAACTTCCTGAACAAATGGGTTTATGAATAGTTTTAATTCATTTTTGGTCAACTCCCACAATGAAGAAATATCAAGAATTCTGGCATAAAATGTTGCTTTAAAAGATATTTTTAGTAACTATTTCTCTGATTATAAAAGGAAATTCCATGCCTTCCACAAATAAAAATAAGCCCTTTGTTTAGAGTTTTTATTTTCATTGTTATTCATTAAATTCTATGTTCATATCTGATTCTGAACATTGTTAACTGTACCCTCTTATAAAATGACATCCTCACAATTCTTCATATTTTGGATATATTTACATTTTTCCTGGGGCCTGAAACAAGATAGACATATTTTCTTTTATTCTTTAAAATTTCTTATCTTTCTTGGTTAATGAACTAAATGTAAATAGCATAGGTTGTCTGTCCCTTATCCAAAACCTGGGACTAGAAGTGTTTTGGATTTCAGATTTTTTCAGATTTTAAAATATGTGCAGAATACCAGTTGAGCACCCCTAATTTGAATATCTGAAATCTGAAATGCTCTAATGAGCATTTCATTTGAGCGTAATATGTGCCCTCAAAAAGTTTTGGATTTTGGAGCATTCTGGATTTCATATTTTCAGATTAGGGATGCTCAACATGTATTTTTATAAAATAGCATTCTTGGTTCAATTAAAAAGAGGGGAAAAGAGCCTTAGACATTTCATTGGAAAAAATCATTTTTCCTCCCCAAATTATTTGTCCTACTGATAAATATAGGGATAAAAATAATATCTTAAAATGTGTCTTGTAACTTTTTATATATATGAGCAAGTGATAATACTAAATAAACCATCAATTACGATTGTCAAATACACATAGTTTTAAAATACACTCAATATTACTTTCAGCAATATTTATTGGTATTTATGTTATGAAACACACACCAATGTCATGTAACAAAAAAAAAGCATAATAGAAGTTTGCAATATATTTTAAATGCAAAATCGAGTGCTGGTATATTAAGGCAAAAATAAAAAATAAAGCATTAAATTCCTGGTCATTTAGAGTATTTAATTTCTTTATTAAATTTTAATTGTTCTTAAAGAGGTATGTTTCTTTCCATACCTGATAAAAAGAAGTTCTATCTTTTCCTCGTAATGCTCTAAGTTCCTTCTTAGATATAATTTTTAGAATTTAAACGCTAAAGATAGTTTATCAAACCTCTTTTTAAAGAAAAAAGATACAATAGGCTATAGAAGATAAAACTCCCATGAAATTCCTTCATGCTTCTTCTATAATCACCTGCTCTCCATGGACCTCTCTCCACAGCCTTTATTATCACTGTCTAGTGAACTAAGAATAAAAAAAAAATTTTTATGAGACAGGGTCTCACTCTGGAGTGCAGTGGTGCAGTCATGGCTCACTGCTGCCTCAAACTCCTGGGCTCAGGCAATCCTTCTGCCTCAGCTTCCCAAGTAGCTGGAACTACAGGTTTGTGTCATCAAGCACAGCTATAGTCTCTTACTCTTATATATAATTTTAGAATTCCTTGTATTTATTAAAATGTATTGAATATTTCTAATAACTTAAATCCCTGTAGATTATTTCAGTCATCTGTTGTTTCTACTGAATCTTGTTCACAGTGCTCCAATTTTTCCCCTATGATTTGTGATTTTTAAAAACATGAATGAGCTTATTTGCTAGAATTTTAATTATAATTATTTGATAACTACCTTCAAAGTGCATTATTTTATTGACGATTTGTGATTGTTTCTACAAGGTACCTAAGAGTATAACAGACTGAGGTCCATTTTAAATTAAAATCCTCCATTTGTGGAGTTTTAGGAACCATGAAAATAATGTAAATTAAGGCCCCAAATTCAGGTGAATATCAGCTGGTAACCAGGAATTATTAGGGTAGATTTTAACTCTACCTAGAGCTGAATGCCTTTGCAATATGATCTCCTGATCAGGCCTCCTACCCTTTTGTGGGACCCAAGGATTTTTTCTCTAGTTTCTATCCCTTTTATGCACAAAACTTCCATGCCAACGAAATCCATGGATGCTCCCAAAGTATTCAGTGAGTTTAGCACCTGCTCACCTCACAGGATTTCCCTGTTTTGTTTACAGCCTTAGAAAGTTCCCCTTATTTCCTTATGGATTTATCCATTCATTTTAAAGGATTTTTTATGATACTGAATCTAGTATTTTACATCTTTGGTGAACTAAGGGATTCAAGATCTGTTGCCTATCATATCGCTACAAATGGAAGTCTATTTATTATTTCTGCAACTGCTTTGTAAAATTTAAATTGTGATATTTATTCCTGATAAATTTTATTTTAGTGTGTTAAGCATAGTCTACAAGTGTGTCAAGAGCACTTACAATATTGATTGAATCTTCACATTAGCTTACCTTAGAAGTTGTGTATCATTTGAAAATTTGTTTCAATGTTCTTAGCCTTCACCAAAGTCACTGATCAACACAGCTCCTGACAAAAAGAAAAGCTTCAAAATTAAACTGAAAAATCTTTACAGCACATCCAAAATATTTTCTGTTATCATATATAGAACCACAAATTAAATTTCCATCATAATCAAATACAGAGAAATCAAATTAAAACAGGTAAATCCCTATACCTCAATTACTTCAAGTGACTGACAGACCTTTCAAAAAGTAGTATTGAACTGAATGAAATATATATTTATCATCAAAGGAAACCAGCAGAAGTATAATAAAAGGTTAGCCTGGATAAAGGGGGCTCCAGCACCTCTGAAATCTCCAACTGCCTCCACCTCCAAGAGGAAAAAACACAAATTATTTAAACTATTATCTTTAAGACCAGTGTTTACATAAAGGCTGTGCAAAGCTTTTCTTGATTTAAGGATGCTTTCTTCCTATTAGATGTTCAGTAAAACGTTAGCTCTTTCATCTATTGTTTCATAGCACAAATATAGAAGAGTTTTGAAGAGTCACAAGGGGAAGATTTGAAAGGTTTTTGTGCTTTTAACAGCATCATGAAAACCCATGCCTGCTAGGTTTTTGTTTTTTTCTGTTGCACCACTTTTAGTTCACACCTTTTACTAATTTCAGTCATCAATGACAACTTTTATAAAATTTATCCCCAACATTAACATAAGAATGTGTGTATGTTCTTATGTTTTCCCATCAGAAATAACAGAAAACTTACCCTTGTCTCCTTTAATACACTGCTCTTGCATGAAGAACACATAAACCACTGATTTGGGGTCTGCATCTTTATGTTCTGAGCTGCAACTACAAGTGTCAATAGAACATTTATCTCCTGGTGTTCTTTCTTCTTAATATTTGATGTACACCTGCAATAATGTAGTAGAAAAAGCACAGGCTTTGGAGTCACATAGATCTGGGTTTAAATTGCAGTCTTCTACTTAGCAACTGGCTAATCTGAAGCAAATTTTTAACCTCTTTGAAACTATCAGGAAAATAATATTACAGATTTCAATATGTAGCTCTAAGAACCAAATGATAAAGCATACAGATAGTGTCAGCACAGTGCCTGCCATAGTACATGTATTCTATTATGTTGGTTCTCCTTCTGAGTAATTCATTTTCTCTCTATTCAATCTATCAAAGGACTTTCCAGACTAAATTTTCCTAAGTCATGGCCTTGATAAAATTTTGAGGTTTTATACAACAGTTATCAACATTTTACAACACTTATTATACCTTACACATAAAATACTTTCAAAAAAGTAGTACACCAACAATGATACTACTGAATATATATCCCTAAGAAGGTACATTTCAAAATCTACATTCTAAAGTCACTAGAAATTGTTCCTTTTGTGTGGTTATGTCAGCAAAGTGCTATACAGTTATATAAACTTGTTTCAGTTCCTTTTCATATTTTTCTTTTCATTCCACCTTTTTAATTTTATTTTTTTTAATTTATTTTTTATTTTTTTGAGACAGAGTCTCGCTTTGTTGCCTAGGCTAGAGTGAGTGCCATGGCATCAGCCTAGCTCACAGCAACCTCAAACTCCTGGCTCAAGCAATCCTGCCTCAGCCTCCCAAGTAGCTGGGACTATAGGCATGCGCCACCATGCCCGGCTAATTTTTTTCTATATATATTAGTTGGCCAATTAATTTCTTTCTATTTATAGTAGAGACGGGGGTCTCGCTCTTGCTCAGGCTGGTTTCGAACTCCTGACCTCGAGCAATCCACCCGCCTCGGCCTCCCAGAGAGCTAGGATTACAGGCGTGAGCCACCTCGCCCGGCCTTAATTTTATTTTTGAGTATATAAATATACGTAATTCTAAGGTCAAAACTATTATTAACAAGTTATATTTAAAGAAATCTCTCTTCTATTCTTGGCACCTTTCCCCAATTTCTTCTTTCTGCCTATTACTATATATACTTACTATTCCCTTCCCTGCCTTAGGTTTTTTTCGACTTTACAATATATTCTGCAGATCATTCTGTATTGATACATAGAGACTTTCTACATTCTCTTTTATGACCTCTGAGAAAAAAGGCGACTTGGAAAGGGCATCATCTACCTGGCAATTGTTCCATTGTTTGGATGCATCTTAGTTTATCCAATCAGTCTCCTGTCAATGGGCATTTTGGTTGTTTCTGATCTTTTGCTAATACAAGTAATGCTAATGTGACTAACCTTATACAATGCCAGTTTATATTTTATTTCAGTAGTCTTTAGGACAGATTCTTAAAAGTTAAATGCCTATGTCTAAGGACTAATGCATATGTAATTCAGCAGGATTTGTCAAATTTCCTTCTGTGCAGTTTGTCCTTTTGTATCCCTGTAGTAATGTATGAAAGTACCTGTTTCCCCCCGCAAGTCTACAGAGTATATTGTACAACTTTGGGATTTGGGCAAGAAATGCTTTAGTATAGCTTTAATTTGTATTTCTTTTTGTATGACTGAAGTTGGAACACCTTTTATCCGTCTGTCACGTGCATTTCTTTTTCTGTGAACTCTCTTTTCATATCTTTGGCCCATTTTTCTATTTGGTTGATGGTCTTGTTTGCCTGGATTTTTAGGAAGTTGTTTTCATGAAGACTAGCTCTTTGTGATACATGTCCAAATATTTTTCCCTACTTTGTCATTTGTAATTTGACTTTGCTCATGGCATTTTTCGCCACTTAAATATTTTTTCGTTTAATATAGTGAGATTTATCATGGTTTTTATTTTTTTCTGAAAGTGAATCATAATTATAAAATCTTGGTTTTCACTTTCATAGACTTTAAATGTGTTGTTCATGGCTATTTTGCTTTCTATGTTGCTAACCTCTTGTTTCTGCCTGGAAGCCCAGAGGAATTTTTCTTCATTATCTTAAAAGTCTAATAGTTTTTTAGGATGTGACTTGGAGCTGACCTTTCTGGGTCAATTTTCCCAGTACACAATGAGCCTTTTCAATATGCAGATTTGAGTCCTCTCTTATTTCCAGAATGTTTTCATGGATTGAAGTTTATTTTTTTATCTTTTTTTTTTTTTTTTTTTTTTAGACAGAGTCTTGCTTTGTTGCCCAGGCCAGAGTGAGTGTTGTGGAGTCAGCTTAACTCACAGCAATCTCAAACTCCTGGGCTTAAGCAATCCTACTGCCTCAGCCCCCTAAGTAGCTGGGACTACAAGCATGTGCCACCATGCCCGGTTAATTTTTTCTATATATATATATATATTAGTTGGCCAATTAATTTCTATTTATAGTAGAGACAGGGTCTCCCTCTTGCTCAGGCTGGTTTCAAACTCCTGACCTCAAGCAATCCTCCCTCCTCGGCCTCCCAGAGTGCTAGGATTACAGGTGTGAGCCACCGCACCCGGCTGGATTGAAGTTTAAATATTAGCTCTGTTATTGTCTTTTCTTCTTAGGAACTTTAATTTTACATACCTTTTATATTAATCACTTTCTATTTTTTTACATTTCTTCATTTTCATTCTCTTGGCTGTATTCATGCCTTTTTCAGTGCTTCTTATATTTAGTCAAATCTTTTCTCCCTTAGGTACCTTAGAATTTAGATTTATTTTAAAAGATTTTTTTTCATTTTATTTCCTGAGTTTAGTAAATTCACTTTTCAAAACTTCCTATTTTTGTCCTTTTGTTTTAGGGTTATGAATTTTGAATTTGAGGCTTGTTATCTATACAAATGCTAGTTTAAGGATGCTTAATTCAGATCAGGGAATTGTGCTGTAGTTTTCTTTAGCTCTATAGTTGAATGTTTTGGGGAGATTTTTCATCAGCTAAAATGTTTTGACCCTCATTTTGTTTTCTAGCTAAAGCAACTTTATATGGGTGTTGTCTGCCATCTTCTGTTCAGAGTGAAGTGTTTCATTTTTCCTAAACTGGATAATAGCCGTATATAGACAGGAGTGAGGGATTTGGATGACTTACTGAATTTCTTACTTCAATAGTACCTAAGAAAGTGTTTTCTTTTTTTTTTCTTTAATCAATGACTCCTATTTGGGTGGAAGAAAGGAAGTTCTACTATTCTGTTTCTTCAAGATCCTTAATTTCTACTACTATGCTTTCTCTATACCATCAAGCCTCCAGGTACATGGTGCCCCTCCCAAGTCACCCTCTTTTCCCAGAAGCAGTACTTTCCTGATACTTCTTCTTTGGTCCCACTTTCTTTGAAGTCCCTACTCTTTGTCTAATAGATCTCACATCTCTTCCCCATATTTCCCTGTTGAGGGTGGGCAGTCCCTTTATGGGAATTATTTTACCTGTGTTCTGCTGCCCCTAGTCCCTGCTTCCCTCTCCTCTTTTCTATAAAGCCTCCACTTGCCACTTTTGCATGGTAGTGGTTTAATTTGCTCTTCTTATAGATTTGAATGCTTTTTTGGGAGGACATACTGAAACCGCCCCTACAAATTAATAAAAAGGGGTACAAGGCAATAACTATGTTAAGGGCCTAGCTAAAAATAATGATAATAGTTAGCTACTGTCCCTCTGTTTACTTCTCTATAACTGCCACATAGCTGGTGGTCATAAAGATTCGTAGCTTTCTCCATAGATAATATCACCTTTTTGAAACCTACGGGTAGTTTCTGAGATATCTCTAGGTCCCAAATTCCAGCGTAACAGCTGACCTACCCACACCAGCGACCCACACGGAGGAACTTACTCAACTGGTCTTATGACCCCCACCCAAGAACCCGGTCAGCAAAGAAGACAATTTCTGCAACCGTACAGTTCCACCCTGAATCCAGCCAATTAGCAGATTCAATTGCTTACACTGAACTGTCTTTTAAAAACCCTGTCTCCCAAATTCTCGGGGAGGCGGATTTGATTTCTCCCATCTCCCCACTTAGCGCTATGCAGAATAAACTCTTTCTCTGCTGTAAACTCTACTGTCTCAGCATATTGGCTTCCTCTTAGGCAGCAGGCAAACAAACCTGGTTGGGCAGCAACAATATGGAGAGATGTGCACCAGATAGTTGCTATCATCCTACCAAAACTTGGAGTCAGCCATTTTTAAAAATAATTTTCTATGGCCAGGTGTGGTGGCTCACGCCTATAATCCTAGCACTCTGGGAGGCCGAGGCAGGAGGATCACTCGAGGTCAGGAGTTCGAGACCAGCCTAAGCAAAAGCGAGACCCCATCTCTACTAAAAATAGAAATTAATTGGCCAACTAAAAATATATAGAAAAAATTAGCCAGGCATGGTGGCGCATGCCTATAGTTCCAGTTACTTGGGAGGCTGAGGCAGAAGAATTGCTTAAGTCTAGGAGTTAGAGGTTGCTGTGAGCTAGGCTGACGCCACGGCACTATATCCCGGGCAACAGAGTGAGACTCTGTCTCAAAAAATAATGATAATAATAATTTTCTAGTTTTATTGCCTGTGGTCAAAATTTTATTTGACTTTTTTAAACTGAGGTTTTCTTTGTGGTCCAATAGATAAAAGATATTTATAAATGTTCCATGTGCCCTTAAAAAGAGATATTCCCTATTAGTGAACTCAGAGTTTAATGTAAATCTATCTGTAAGATCTAACCTACTGATTATATGACTTTTTTTGTCCACTTATTTTGAGAGGTGTGTTAAAGCCCCTATCAATAATTCCTTTCTATTTGTCCTTACACCTTTTGTAGTTTATTGTGAATTGTAGCCTTTAGCTTATAAAATGTCCTTCACCTTAAAGCTTTTACTCTTTTCCCTGGACTTGAACTCCTGTGTTTAATGGGTACTCCCGCCCCAGCCTCCTAAGTAGTTGGGTTTATAGGCATATGCCACCGTGCCTGGCTTCCCAGCTCATCTTAATGCTTTCTGGCCTCAATTCTATGTTGTATGATACCAAGATGATGAACCCTGCCTTTTTAAAATTAGCATTTACC